TTTCAGGACGGCAGCTGAGATTTAACTGTCTCTCCTGCAGATTATAGCCTTTCTGGACCTTATGTTGGAAGTGCAAACGCTTATTTTGGAGTTGTACTAAAAGAATGATCTAACTGATAATCGGTACCAAGATTATCTTTAGCCGGCCTTAGAAAACGTCTGTGTATGAGGCATGAGCCGGCAGTATAAACAAGAAGAAATAGCGCCAGACAAACGTAAGCCTCTCGGATATGTCAAGTATGAACAGATGACCTGTCATGTTTGCATAACAGACAAAGGTCACAACGTTAGTAACCAAAACGACAACGGCAGCACTAAGCACATGTGACCTAGTTTTGGAGGACCTCCCCGAAACCTTTCGGTTGAGTGGCGCAAATTCCCTGTTAACAGATGAGAGACAGCTGACCAATTAAACGCTTGATGGCTTGGCCCTCAGCTCACGCCTGACGATGGTGATTTACACTGACATGAGGCGTAAACTCAACTTTCACCTGTTCACCTGACGACAAGAGAAACATATGCAAATGGTGATGCAGATATTTCCCCATTTATTAGAGGAAAAAAAGGCATCAAAGCTTAAGACGTGAATGATGGAGTAACGAATTCCCACAAGTCAGTGAAATAATAACAGTGTACTAACCGGAATCACCTGACTAATTTATGACTAAATTTCCTCAGACACCAGTTTAAACGGTTGTCCTTTGCTTCTCACAAATGCTACTTTCGCATTTATAGTCGCACAAAATGAAACTGTACAAATATAGGAAAAAGATGACAGTTTCCAGAAGGTATCTTATGGCCTGAGTGGCCTCTTGGGCCAACCTCTTTCACCTCCGTATGTTTTCTTATTTGTGGACTGGGTCCCGCGGTAGTGGAACGAAGTCTTCTACATTGTTCTTCTCTTTGTTTTCTCAGTAGCAGAATGCTTACACCCTTTTTCTGCTCTGATCATTCTTTGTTGCCATGTGTAATCGCCGACAAAAGAGTTCTGTTGAAATGATAGCCTGGTGTTATTTGGCTGATCTTGGCAAGGACGAAGTCGTTAGTAGAACGAAACGCGCGCCTTTCTGCATAGCTTCTAGGAAAAGTTTCATTTTTCTCATCGCCTGCATATCGCTTCGTCGTCCGACATGAATGAAACATTCTAATTTTTCTACAAACCGATACATTAGCAGTTATTTGAGCCTTCAGGGGAGTACCTGATTGCACGCTCTGCACCTTCATCAACTGATTTTAGTCAACTTTCCCTGTTTCCCTGTCAAATTCTTTCAAAATTTCATGCTTGACGGCAACAGTATTAGGGAGAATTTGGAGATCTTCTAGGAAAACTTATATGATAATTCAAATGAGCAGAGAACTTAGTTTTTCGTCCAATGACAAACCATGCGGTGCTTGAACTCCTCTCACTGTAGCAAAAAAAATTTACAGATAGCTAGCTTCCACTGCTTACTGTAAAGTGCAGTAAGCTGCGAGCTGAGAGCGCCATTTTATACAGCCCGAATTGGAAGTACCGGTGATTTATATGAAGTTGATCATCGCATTTACCTACGCTGCTCAAATATACGTCGGAGTCTCTAAATGCTACAGATTTTACCATTTTAAGCCACTGCATCAAGCAAATTACATGTGGAAGCGACCTTTCACCTCCCTAGTTATTGAAACTGTAACTCTGAAAGTAGTTCGCTTCGCTAACAGGATCTTGAACAACTAAGAGCACCCACTGTGCAAAGATGTGGCTCAAAAATCTTCTCTAATTCATGGGGGACTTCACTGATCCCAATGTGCTAACCAGCGAGTTCATGGAGTATTTTCAAGGTTGTTGATCCTCATTTGCTTCGTTTCTTAACGGATCCCTGAGTCTTTCAAATCCATTTCAGGCAACGTCATTATGCTGAACATTGCACCTACTTCAGCATCTTTATCTTCATCTTCATCTTCCATCGCCGCTTCTCCTTTCGGGTCGCGGAGGCAGACGCGTTAA